AAATATGAAGTCATCTCCAATCGCAGCCTGACTGGAGAAGACCTTGGAATTCATGTCACCTCCAAACAGCTGCGAAACTTCTAGTATGGAGTCACCCATGGATAGCTACCTGGAGACCAGTACTCTCGATCTGGAAGACCTCCAATCATCGAGCAGCTCCCGTCGCTACGGTCTAGGACATCATCTTCACCTCAGTCGCCAAGGCGCGGGTTGATGGTATGGACCGGACGTACCTGGAATGGAAAGACCGATATTTTCTTCGTGGGCCCCGGACTGAAGGTGAGCGCTGGCGGTTACATCGAGCAAGAATATCCTCTCCACATGTCGTCGCCCGTACCTTCTTGGAAACTTTGTACTGCTACAGCATTGGGTGCCACCACATGGAATCGAAGGGCGTTGGAAAAACTCTCGCCCACTTGGAATGGAAGGGCGTTGAGTACCTGAAGAAGATGGAATATCCAAGTGTGTCACCTGACCTAAACCCCCTCAATTACCCGGTTCGGGCGGAGCTCAACAGGGTGGTCTACAGTGGCGGAGAAATCAACGATCTCGCTGAACTCAGGTACCGAATCACGGTCGCGTGGCAGAATCTCTCGATGGCGCTCGTCCAGAAGGCTGTGGCGGAGTATCATGATAGTATACAATATGCTGTTGAATATGGTGGTGGAAATGTCCAATCAGAATTTGATAAAGTGTAACTTATAGCGCCTTGAAAGTCTAAGGAAGAAAAGTGTCTTTCTTGGCACTCCTTGTACACTAGCGCACTTTTCGAGCGTGCACCAGCATCCAAGGGAGCCATATTTTCAGCTACTTTCCCTATACAAATCATTTTATTCGTCAAATAACCAGAGCAAGAACGCTGAGTAGTGTCTCCTCATCTTCATTACCAAATTTGCGACTGCGATGTGACCGTGCTCTCATGCTGTTGATGCAGCCACCACAATGTTGGTTTGGCTACACCTTCCTTTCCATGCTAGTGAGCTTCTCACACTACAACAACTTGTGCTTGCAACCCTTTTGTGGACCATCATTTTCAGGAACGTCCTACTTCATGGTGGTAATGCCGTCGATGCCTCTGTTGCTGCACTGTTCTGTATTGGAGTGATGGACAGTCACTCAGCAGGGCTTGGTGGAGGACACTTCATGACCATCTATAACGCGTGAGTTTCTCAAAATTCTGTAGGCACCTTCGAGGAAGTCTGCATGGACTTACTTCCAGGACCACCCAGCAGTGTACTGTAATTGATGCAAGAGAAGTAGCTCCGAAAGCCGCCACTGAAGACATGTACAGGAACAGATGGAATGATAGTCGCACGGGTGAGATCATATGTTCCAGTCCGCTTATGAGTTGCTTGGAGATTCCGGGAAACCAGGAATTCTTCCTGAGAGATTTCTCGACTTTCTTCGATACCAATATTTACTCTAACATCACGAGTATGAAGAAAAAAGCTTTCGCTCATTCGTTCTTTCTAGATGTGCTTCAGGTTCTTTCAATCCAAACCTATTATAAATCACGATGGGACTTGGGATACACCTTACTTCTCACAATTGTTTGGGAGAGGAGGGTCGACAGTCTGTGGACAAGTACGCGTTTTTGGCAAGTCTGCCTAATTCGCAGACTCTGAAGGGATGGAAGATCTCAATGGATAAAGCCGCAGCCGATTTGAGATTCGACTTCCAGACCATCCGTGAAGTAAATGACACCATTTATA